TGAGATGGAGCATGCCATTTATTCTCTTCCTCGTTATATCCACCTTCTTCATCCTCATTATCATCTGAATCAGGAGAAGCATATTGGAATTGGGAAGGTATTAGAGGAGGAAAGTATCAATATGTTGAATTTGATTTAGCTACGGGTTTTTTGTTATCAAGCATCATCCTCCCGAATTGAGATGTCATTTGACCGATTTCATCTACTTTCGACTCTATTCTATCTATTCTGGCATTTTGATTTGATGAACGTAATCGTTCTGGTTTACTTGCTATGGGTGGAGGAAAAGCTTTATCTAACCATTGTAGTGCTTCCTCTCTAGAAAGATTTGACCATCTATGATCTCCCTGATCTGCATAAAATTCATGTATTTGTTCATGATCTTTGGGTGGAACTGGAGGGTGATATTTTTTGGATTGCTGACTCATTTTTGATTCGAATTCGGTTTTCAATTTTTCAATCTCGGCCTTGGATTCAGCCTTCTGTTTTTCTAATATAGCTTGAAACGATTTTTGCATTTCATCATATGAGGGAAATACTGGTTGTGAAACTATAGATTGTGATATAATACTATCATTCTGCTTTGCTAATGATTTTTTCTTTGGTTTTGCTTGATCAGAGTTTTGATCTACATATAAACTAGAACATTCAAGCCATAGATTTTTTAATAAAATAAAAAATTCATTAATACCTGCTATATTTTCATTTCTCATCCAACTATAAAGTTCTCGATCACCTGATAAATGAGTTTTAAGAGTTCCTAATACTCGTGCATCATCATCTGCTACACCTAATAATAGTGGACGAATTCGGGTTTCATAGGTATCGGGATTATCAAAAGGTTGAAATCTTTCTTGAGATAATCTTAAAATAGCTGATTGGCTAGTTCCAACTGTTTCTCGTTGATATTTTGCATTTAACCATGCTCTTAAAGTATCTGGACTATCAATATTAACTGCTGGATTTACAAAATTATTTTGAGGTGGTACTGGTGCATATTTTCCTGCCATTTTACCTTTCATAATTTCGACTTTGACAGCATCATCAAAATCTCCAGCATTTGCATTTTCAAGAGCCATCATATTTGGTATAGCAGGTGCCCATGCCTGTATAATCATATCACAATAATCACTAGGTGGCATTTGACCCATATATTGTGGAATTGGATTTAACAAGGTAGATACATATTTCAATGTAGGCAAACGTCTTGCTTCTGCCATGTTGTATAGATTATTCTGTAGCGCAAAAATTTGTTGATTTAAATTTAAAATATTCTGGCGAGAATTAATTTCTCGAGCCTTCCATTTTTGATACCGATTAAATACCCAGGCGTGATTAAATTCTGACAAGTCAGCCTCAGCTTTGCACCTTTGATATATTAGCTGAAGGGCTAGCTTTTCTCCTAGCAACTCACCAATACGGGTCTGCTTTCTTGCTATATTATTTATCATTCTGTTTACTTGGTTTTGAGCATTAGTCCGTAACTGATCACGCTCCAGCACTGCTTGATCATGCTCCTGCCTGTATATATCACGATCATATTGCACATTCACCAGGTCTTGTTGCAAGTTAGTATATTTACGTCGAATTGACCTTGTTGCTCTTTTAATTTGATTTGTTAAAATGGTTTTACATATTGTTGTATCAGCTAGGGATAGGTCTATAGCATCGGCTAACTCTGCTATTGTAGCTATGTCTAAATCAAAATTATATAAGTCTGAAGAATTTTCATAAGAATATGAATCAGATTCATTTTCATTAAAATTCTATGCCTGTACATTTTGTAAAGCCTCTTGTGTATTTGTAAGTTCTAATCTATCTCGATATCTTAATAATGCTAATGCAAAATTTTGACAAAGCAGATCTGTAATACGATTTTTTTGCTGATTTATTTTATTAACCCTATTTATTTGATTAACCCTTATTGTATTTATTTCTCGTTTAAGTCGCTCGTTTTCATCCACTAATCTTGTTGTATAATCTTGTGCTTTAGGGGTATTGCCAGCTGATTTTGATATTTCACGAATTCTGGTTTTTAATTTTGTCTCTCGTTCATCGAATTCTGTTATTAATTTATCCTTATTAGTGATTTCTTTGTCTTTCTTTTTATTTTCTTCTTCGAGTTGGCGGACAATTTTTTTAAGTTTTGAGATTTCTTCTAACAATTCCTCTTTGTCTTGTCTAGAAAGTTCGATAGCATTATTTAGTTCTTCTTCAAGAAATCGAATTCTCTCTTCGCATACACCAATAGCTCTTTCCAAGTTGTATACGCGTTTTTCAATATCTCTGTTTGATTGAGCCAATTGTGAGATTACCTCATGAAGCTCCTGGTTAGTTTGTTGTAACTCCTCCATCTTTTTTATTACTATAATAAAACAAAGGAATGGAGAAACCTGTAATTTATATTGACCCACAAAGGGTCCATGATTTGGATAAGGAGATTACTTTGCAAAAAATTTATTATAGGCCTGAAGGTTATTATCAGACTGCTGAAAAAATGCATGATGCATGTAGAAGGGCTGGACATAATTTTTCATTAGCTGAGATACGTAATTGGTTAAATAAGCAAGCCGTTTTTCAGATTCACAAGCCACCTCCAAGGTATATTCCTCGAGTTTCATTTAATACGATTCAAATTCCTAATGAATGTCATCAGGCCGATATTCTCTATATGCCTTATGATAAAATTGGAAAAATAACCTATATGTTTTCTCTTAATGTAGTAGATATAGCGAGTAGATATAAAGTATCAATTCCAATTGGAGGTATTATTCCTAATATTGACGTAAGCCGGCTAAAAGCTAAAGATGTTAATCTATTGCGGAGCAGGCCGTTAGGCGATTCAAAGAATCATGGCTCTTCGAGTCTAAAAAATATTTTAACTTCCAATACTATTGCTAAGACATTTAAAAAAATCTATAATGATCCAACATGTCCACTTATTTATCCTAAATTATTATTAACAGATAAGAGCTCAGAATTTAGAGGGAATTGTGAGAGACTGATGAAAAGGCATGGTGTAAAAATCCAGAAGGCTAATTCTAAACGTAGTATGGGTATTGTTGAAAGATATAACCGAACCTTGGCAGAGAGATTGTTTCGAATACAAGATGCGTCAGATTTGCTATTGCCAATATCTGAAAGGTCTAGGGTTTGGGTGAAGAATCTTCCAATTATTGTTAAAGAACTTAATAATTCTGTAACTCGACTTCTTAAAATGACTCCTGCAGAAGCTATTCAAAAGAAATGGGTTAGTGCTATGCCTTCTTTACCTCGCAATGGTCCTGTTGGATTTGATGAACCTCGATTATCTTATAATATTTTGGTAAGATACTTACTTGAACCAGGTGAGTTAGAAGGTGGAAGACATCGTGCAACTGATTGTAATTGGTCTCCGAAAGTTTATCATATTAAAGAATCCTTAATACAAAAAAATCAACCAGTATTGTACTGGATTACAGATGAAAATAGCAATGGACCTGAAAGATCATTTGTTCGTGAACAATTAATGAAAGTTGATAAGATCGAATATCCACCCAAATGGGTATTATGAGATTAATAGTGAAGTTGGTATCTTTAATATATATTAATTTTTAAATTTCCAAACCATGTATTTTTTGAAGAATTTCATCTACTTGTAATTTTGTTCGCTTTTCTACTTTTTCTTCTTGATTGGCTATTTCTAAATATAATTTATATAACTTTTCTAAACTAGTATATATCTCTTCATTGTACCAATCTTTAAAATCTGCCATTCTTTCATTATAGGTTTCCTCATTTGGAGTATGTTGCTTTGCTACATATCTAATATGATCTTCTGGATCTCTTTTTCGCTGTAAAGTTTTAAGATAGTTTACATATGATGCTCCTAATTTATCATATTTTTTGGTACCTTGACTATATGCTACTTTAATCACTTCAACTAAAGCTGTTTCGATATTTTTGTAGTTAACCATTTTGTATAAGTATTGAATATTATTTGTATTAATATAGCGAAAACTTTAGTTTAAAATAAAATATTTATTTCTTATTACTATGCGAGGCGAATATTTTTGCAACTATTTACTTAGAACTGGATGGGTTTGTGGACGAACCTGCTATCGGCCAGAAGGTTGCTTTGAACATTGGAAAGCTAAACCTCGCATTCCTTGTAAGGTTTGCAGTAAGCCGACTAGCTCTGAACCCGGCCTTTGTAGAAAGCATTCTGGTACCTATTATATGACCCAATATTTTAATAGGCTTCGGGATAGAGCTAATGCCTTTTCGCAATAATCCACCAAGGTGCTCTGATAGTGATCCCAATGGCATGTCAAGGTGTTCTGCAGATATAATTTTTTTATACACCCAGTCTGCCTGCTTTCTTTTTTTATCTGTTTCTTGCTAACGAAATAGTGTTTTTAAGATTAACAATGCTTTGGATATGTAAGAAGATAAATTTACGTTTTTAAGATTAACAAAACTTTAAATAGATAAGAAAATATATTACTTTCCTTAAGGTTAAGAAGACTTCAGGTAGGTAAGCATTCAAATTAACAATCTTAATGAGTAAGAGGGAGTTAGAAAACATTCTAGATATAAAAAAAAATACACCACGATATAAGCCTTCTAACCCAATTTTAAAGTCGAGTAGAGTATTGAACAAACCTATATTCTTAAGCTTAACAAGGCTTTAGATAGGCAAGAAAAGAAATTACTTTCCTTGAGATTAATAAGACTTCAGGTAGGCAAGAAAACAAATTAGTAAACTTAATAAATAGAAGGCATTAGAGTAGATTTTTGATATATAAAAATTTACACCATGATTATAGAGCTTCTAATCTAATTCTAAAGCCAAGTAGAGTAGCAAAAAATAATATATTTTTTATATATGATAGTGAACCCCATAAGTCCCATGAGGACGATCCAGTAGTATTTTTTTTTACACATAAAAGTCTGCTTGCCCTTCCTGCTGCTCTACGGGAAGGACACCCCTCATTACTAATGAAGATGAAGATAGTATGCGAACGATTGGATGGGATGAATATGCAATGGATATAGAAGAAAGATCAACTGAGTTAGAAGCTGATGAAAATGAAGAAGATATCGATAATCTTGAATACTTAAATGAAATCGCATATAGAGAATGGGAACAAGAACAAGATATAGATTCTAATAGTATGGAGGATATAGAAGATGAAGTCCAAATGAA